CGGTATTTATTTGGCTACTAACAGATGCATCCTGAACGATACTTTAACAATCCTACCCGAGTACTTCCGACTAACCGTTCTCATGCCGTTCAGTGTGCGTCTAACTGTCATCGTGCACTCGACTAATGCTGTCAAAAATCACAGGAAAACACTCACATACAAACAAATATTTTTAAATATACACATAAATACATAATAATATTATATACACTAGCATAGGCAAATGTAAACATTCACACAAACACCACATAAATACAAATCGAATAGGTTCTTATGTGATAATAATATACGTTCTAATAATAATATTATAACGTGGCGCAATTTTCTCATGTATGTTTCTTGAAATTTTGCACTGTCCTTGAATGATTTGGGGTTCCTTAGGCGATTTTTGCGAGTTGTATACCCGAGATAATTGACCTGATCGGAACTAGACCAAAATACGGAGGAACCCTGAAGAATGAACGTGGAAGGAGGTAATATTTTACATACCATACATATATATATATATATTATTATTAGCATTTATACACCTTTATATATATAATATTAAGTACTTAATTTTTTTAATTTTTAATTTTTTTTTTTACTAAGCTTCAAGCTTCGAACAACATTTTTCTATGGATTTTTAGGCCTACGATATTCAGCGTCAATTAATCTAAAGCACTTTATTCTATATTCTAAAATAATTTTTTTACTTGTCATCACAACATGATATTAATAATATTTAATATGATATATAATCGTTTTACATTATCCATGGATAGTACCTGATGACAATATTGTACGATTATAATACCATGTATTCACTGTTTACGAATTACCATGCAACTTTAGCTACCGTGCCGAGTTGCTAAATGAAATGTAATTCAACTGTTGTGTGGCTAAAATGTCATTAATAACACAAATTCGCAAATGAATAGGTTAAATTTGAAGGAAAAAAATGTATACATATAATATGTATATGTATATTAATTTTTGTTGTTTTTTTATAAATAACTGCACGTAACAATATTAATTTTGCCTGAATCCTATTATTAGACCAAAAATATTAATATTCATGTAAATATCACTGATTGTAATATAAAAACTATTATATTATTATTATTATGTAGCTTGAACATACTCAGTAAACACGCTTAAATCCGTAGTGTCTATATCGATGGTAAAATAGTTAAAATTAATGTATTAATTATAACTTTATTGTTTATATGTTTATTTATATTTTTTAGGCAGAAATTTCATTAGCAATTAATGTAACTGTGTTAAAGCAGTTTGACATTATATTTACTACATTATTAATATTAATTTTTTTTCAAAAGCTGTGTGAACCCTACGGAACGTAGCGATTACACAACACATGATACATTTATATATACATATAACAAACTCGTACTTTTTGATTTAGTTATTTCCTGTTTTTCAAAAATGCACTTCACCCGAGCAATCATTATGCTTACATACATAATATTATTACGTAGTCTCATCCTGACTGTTTTATTAGGATTTGATCGTAGTGCCCCTCGTCGGTGCATATACAATATTTATTTTAAATCTTATTTTTATTTTTATGAGTTTTTATTAAAAATATTATATTTTTTTTTTAGAATTATTTAAATATATACCTACATTAATATGTTTTTATTCCTATAAAAATAGGCACATCGTCGTTTGCGGACACATTACCTACGAGTCAGTGTCGCATTTTCTGAAAGATTTTTTACATGAAGACAGAGAAGACGTAGACGTTGAAGTGGTATTCTTACACAGGTACGAAAAAACAGTTTAATATAATATTGTATTTATTTAGAATAATTATTAAGACAAAGTAATAAATAATCAATAATGAACGATGGTTAAAAAAAATACGAGATGCAATTAATATATCTGTTGAGATCTCGTTTTAGATCTTTAATGCTGAACTATATGATCATGTATACGTATTTCATTATAATATACCTATACAAAAGYTTTTAAGTCGAAAAATTAGGTACGAAGTTGTGTGTAATTTGCAGAAAAGAGCCAGATTTAGAACTGGAGGGGCTGCTCAAACGTCACTACACCACTGTCGAGTTTTTTCAGGGTACAATGATGAACGCAGTAGATCTAGAGAGGGTGAAGGTAAATACCCACTCTCATCCTGATTCTTACTGTCGACGTTTTTTCTTATCGATTTGTGCTCAGTTTCCATACATAGATCAATATTATTATTATTATTATTATTATTATAACAGCTACATGTAGTCTGATACAAAATAGAAACAATTCTTATTAGTTCTAGAGATAGATTATAATAAAATATTGTGTATTAGTAATATATTATATATGAGTTGATTATCTTAAAGTTTAACACTACTGTATTAATAGATTTGGATCTTTTTTTACACAATTCGAAGTACAAAACAAAATTCTTGATAAAATATTATATCTTACTTTTTATCGTTATATTTATAGTTTTGTATTTCTTTTAATTGTAGCATACCTAATATCGTATTGCGAATCAGAATATTTTTCTTTGTAAAGTTTGAACGTTCCAAGTGTTAGTGACCTCATAACTGTTGGTCCACTTTTTTACTCATAACACAAAATACTTCTAAYTAATTAACTACTAATTTGAATTTGATTTTTTTTGTATTTAAATTTTCAGAAAATTATTCTGTTTCGGGATAGCAATTTAAAAAGTAAAAAATAAAAGTTAATAATGATAAGATATAGCAAAAAATATTGTTTTGCATTCTTCAAATTATTTARATAAAAATGGTTTCGAAAAATGTTAGTAATTCTTGAGAAAATTAGTGTTTTACTTAAAAAATTGCCTCGTATATTATATATGTACACTATATAATATATAAATACATATATTATATAGTTACGTATATTATATTATTATTCATAAATTTTATTTTAAATAATATTCCTTTATTTATTTACACCAAACATTAACTATTATCGTCATTTAGATTTGTTAAGCCTCTTGATCAAACCGTATTTACATATTAGTATAGGCTATAACAAAGCCGTTGAAACTGTAAAGAGTTAATGTATTTTGCTTTGAACCATGTATTTAGCTGTCATTTATTATATATTTATATATATACATCCACATATATATATATATATATATACTTATATATAAATACAAATACTAAACACTTAAGACGGGAACTTTAACAGACCTTGACGATGGTAATGTTTTTTAATTTTTTTTTWATTATTATTATTATTATTTGAACTAGGTAGATGATTTTTTTGTTTAAAATCTATATATAATATATATAAAAAATATAAAACATAAGAGGGATGTAGCTTAGTATTGGAGGAGTGATTATTCTGAAATTGATACACTGTCCCTATAGTTTWTATATATATATATATAATATAATATATGTGTGCAGGTTCAGACTGGTAGAAGCATAAGAACCCGTTTATGGCTGCTATTATAATATTACAAAAAAAGAAATAATAAGAGTTATTACATATTTAGCGTTCATATAGCCGTTTATTGATTAAATTATTGTACCTATTTTTACCACCTAGTGACTAGTTAGATACTTTGAACGGATTTCTGAACTATAGATTTTATGTTGTTGATATTTGATTTATATGATATTATATTATAAATAATTACGATACAGTGTGCAATATATAGAAGATATGTCAGTATTAGTTGTGCTTCAATTTAGTTATTTTTGGTATTTTCCAAACCGTAGGAAGCCACCTGACCTGGAACTGGAAGGACTTTTCAAGCGACATTTTACCACTGTCGAGTTCTTCCAAGGTTCTATAATGAACCCTATTGATTTGCAAAGGGTAAAGGTATGTCCAAACAAATGGCTTTAGCACAAATTGAATGACGGTTGCAATTTTTGGATTGGTATGACGCTGGTGATGGATTTTTGTGATTTAAATAAATAAATATATATATACATAATATTAAATATGCATACATATATACTTAAWTAAACGTATAATATATATAATAAGCAATGTATATTATAACTTTTAAGTGTATATGTATACATATATTATTAACTTAAACGAACATTTTTACGATACTTACATGGCTCGAAATAATTAAACGAACCGAACTGTTTATATAATATTTAACTCAAATCGACGACTGTTTTTTTTTTTAAATGTTATTTTTGTTTTCGTTTTATTTTTGTTTATAAGTACGATGTTTTTCAAAAATTCGTTTTTACGGCGCATGCATTTATATATTGTATTCTATATGTATTCTATTGAGAAGAAAAAAAATATGTACGACAACCGTCAACCACAGACCGAACTTTACTACCTCACTTACTGTACTCGACAAATCAGACATTATTATTTATTACTGCCCAGATATAAAATGCATCATTTCATTTCATTAATATTGAATTATAATATTATAATATATATATATAATATTATACAATATATATAATATTATAATATAATCATACAATCATCGCATAGTTAGCTGCATATTTTGTACACATATGGTCATATATCGTAATAATGCATTCTTTACACAATAGTGTAAAATTTGTCTCTCACACGTGGTATATTATAATATTATTATACTCTTAATTCATACATATTTTAGTAAAATTATGTTTTACYAACGTATCGTATTCACAAATCAAACAGTTCATCATACTTATTCTTTACTTCTAAAATTTATTATGATAATAATAATAGTAATAATTTCGCTTTAAGCCCAATGGCCTATGTAGCCAAGGGTATATATACAATTAAAAAAAAATAATAATATTAATAATGTTAATAATACGCGTTGTGTAGTTCTGTAGACATATTATTATTTCACCGTAATCATGGTTGCCCGTTGTTGTCAGCATGGTATTTATGTATTTTGTGTATTTGTGTGCTTATAATATATTATAAATAATTTAGTGCATGAGAGTGTGATAATTGTAGCTGAACTCATCATAATATTAAATMATATGATTAAACTATTTTTTGGAAAATGAGCTTTAGTGTTTAACGTATATAAGTTAAACAAAAAGTAATTTCTAAATTCGATATACGCAAACRAAGTTGTTGCTGTTGATTTAATCTGTATAATATAATACAATATGCACATGAAACCATACTATCAGTGTAAAACACTTAAAATGACGTTTCAGGTCCATGAGGCTGATGCCTGTTTGGTGTTGGCGAACAAGTACTGCCAGGACCCAGACGCCGAAGACGCTGCGAACATAATGAGGGTCATTTCTATCAAAAATTACTCGGACGACATAAGGGTCATTATACAACTCATGCAGTATCACAACAAAGTGCGTATACGTCACAAAATAAAGTTATTTTGAATTGAATATTATAAGCATCATTTAAAATATAAACTGATATTGAGATCCAACGGGATCATGAAATTAATTAAATTAATTAGGTAATACATTTTTTTAAATCAAAATTTTGGAAAAATACAAATAATTTCATTTATCATTATAAACTAATAACATTTTAATAAATCTTTAAAATAGTTTGATGTTACATATTAAGTACATCTTGTATATTTTATTTTATATACCAACAATAATATAATAATATATKATGGATCTAAAAATTAAATCAGCACTTATTCAGCTTACGAGCAAATGAAAGTAGATGCGATATGTGAAACATTTCAGCAAATAGGATAAGGTATTGGTAACAAATTATGTATCAGTCAGATTTTTTTTCGTGAAAAGGTTGAAAATTTTTATCTTGGTTTACAAAAGTTGTAAACTATATTTACATATAATTCGGGCTATATATTTTCATGGTTCTATTAAGGTTTGGTAGTATTTATCTTTGTGATTTTCGTGATGTACATATTATCGGGTTTTGTCAATGTGTGCCATTTTAAAAATCTTTTTAATTTAACCGACAGGCGTATTTACTCAACATTCCGTCGTGGGACTGGAAACAAGGAGACGACGTGATCTGCTTAGCCGAGTTAAAACTCGGTTTCATTGCGCAGAGTTGTCTAGCACCAGGCTTTTCTACAATGATGGCGAATTTGTTTGCCATGAGGTCGTTCAAAACGGTGAGTCATTCTAAACCAGTACGCTTGAGCTTATTAGAAAACACTTCTCTAACTCTTGTCGCGCGCACGCGCTCACATCCATCCAGAGAGACGAAACTAAACGTAAACAAAAAAAAAAAGTTAAAGAAATACCAAATGGAAAAGAAAACGTTGTAATTATGATTATAGTGTATCGTTTACCGTTCACGTTATCGATTCATATGCATAATATAAAAAAAATGATGTGTTTTCTATCCGTTAAATTCTGACTTCTGAGGACTCAAACGCATGAATCGTCATCCCGACCTGAATTTCTGTAGTTACCTACCATTATTATTAAAATAATAACATAATAATTATATACCTGCATCACTGACACTATTAGGTACTTTTGGTGTTTTTCTCCCGTGTGAATTTACGTTTCTGTGCGTGTGTGATAAACTATTTTAAAAACGAACATAATCATATTAAAACTAAAAAAATAAAATTGAACCCAATTTATCGGTTGTGGTGAATAAGCGTGTTAGACGATGTTTGTTAGCAGAACACGAGGTGCGTCGTGGCACCGGATGCTATACAAACGTGGCAGAATGACTATCTGCGCGGTACCGGCATGGAGATGTATACCGAAACGCTGAGCCCGACATTCATTGGCATGCCGTTTGCGCATGCCACTGAGTAAGTGGACTTTAATAACGTGTCCAAAATATTGTACCAGCAGCCGATACTGTTGTTGTTGTTGTTGTTGTTTTGTTTTGTTTTTTTAAATTTATTTTTTCAAATTTTTATCCTTCGGAAATTGTACMTGATTTTGTGCATCTCAAGTCTGTTGTTATGCCCACGTGTTTTTATTTTTATTTTTTTCGTGCGCCTCTAATATTAGACTTATCTACAATCTGCAGCATATTATGATATTTTATGAAACACTTCTGTTCGTTTAAAGTTGCTATATTATATTTAAATAATATTTGATATTATATTGGCGTTCAAAGGGGCTCGACTTGAATCACAGAATACTGTAATAACTCTATACAATCAGTGTTGGGTATTATTATTGTAGCGTAACTAAATTCGCAAGTTATAATCTCCGAAAATAAATGTMTTTTTCAGTAACAAAATAGTAATTCAATTTCAATCATTACAGGTAGTAGAATTATTTTTAAAATAGAATTTCGATGAATTATAATGCATTATATTCCATGTTATTTAATAATACTCGTATTGGGTATGTTGAGTGAGTTTTAGGTGTTATATTTATGTTTCTGTTTTAAAATTAATAATTTCCCAGAGTATTAAATCGTTAAAAATKTCATGTCGGGTTTTAAATTGGAAAAAATTGGATGAAATTCTTTGTAATTACTTACATTTTAGAGTAATGAAACCTGATAAAAACTTTATTTAACGTAAAAGTAATTTAAATAAAATATATTTTTAATGTGCCTAATGGGTTGYGAATAATRTAATTTTATGAATTTTTAAAATTAATTTACCCAACATTGTATGCAAGTGCTTAACAATATACATATTATTATATCGTTATAACTTATAATCTATATGTTAACATTATTACTACAACAAAAATTCCTCTATAAATGCTACATACACTAAACAAGTTAATACTAAACACTGATAATATATCCAATAACTGCAGAAATATGAAATTTCTAATTGTTGTCTAATACTCGTCGTTTACTACCCGTAGAAAAATTTGATTATTCTTTATGATTCGGATTTATTAAAATCAGTGACATGTGACTGTGCACGACTACGTTGCAGCAATATCCAGGAAATAAATCCGCGGAAAATATATCTGAGAGTTAAATAAGTCCCGGGACAATATAACTAAAGAAAACTTTTTTTTTAAACGAAGTATAGCGAMAAATTCAACATAGTAGTTGTTATGTATCAAGTGAGGTTTTTTGTCAATTGTTTATAGCTATCATATCATTAAGCAATTTCCAACAACTATTCATAAAATGTAAGATTAATTTTTTTTTTACAAGCAACAGCATGAACAATACGAATTATTATTTCTGTTATATTATAGACTATTATTTTAAACTTTTTATTGATAATTACCCATCCTAAGCATATTTTCCGCAGCGATTTTTTATCCCTAATTTTTGTATCTTGGATTTATTTTCCCCAGATATTTTCATTACAAAAGTATTATATTTTGATATGAATTTKATTGGATATTCTTACACCTAGATTCGTTGCAGCACTTAGTGGGCATCGTGTAGATCATGACGTTTTCGCCCTGATAGTATTGATATTGATTGACTCTGTGTTTGAGTAGAGACCCTTTGAATGTTGTTTTCGTTTTTGTTAGTTTTTTAAATTTATAAAACGATGTTTTTGATTTTGCGTACGGGATACGAACGAAAGCAAAAAAAAAAAATGATTTAAGGTTAGACTCGCTTTTGGCTCTTTTTTCGTCTTGACACGCAGCTGAAAAAACAGGGTAAACAGACCAGTTTTGCAAAAAAAAAGCAACGCGCAAAAAACACTGCTGTTTTGCGAGTCGTTCAAAGAAAAAAAAAATTACAGCTTGCAAATTTATAATAAATTATTATTATTATTATTATTGTTGTTGTTGTTGTCTTATAATATATTTTATAATTATAATTATTGTTATTATTATCATTATTATTATTATTATTGCACGTACGTACGCGCGTCGTAAACGCCACACGTATGCGCGTACGTTGGCTTGTCCTTTTTTTTACGTCTGATATGATGGACGGTTTCGCGTCCTGATTTATTTATTTTTTTATCATGGTGGATTTTCGTGATCACTTGAAAAATGTTTGCGTTCGACAATTCAAAATGAAATGGGAACAAAATATAATAGTCAAAATCTATTTAACGCGCGCGCGTGTATACAGTATTACAATCTAATAGTTGTGTTGTATTTTTTACAAATCAAACGGCATAATGCAAAATATATATTAATATATATATATATATAAAAATAGATTGTACTCAATAGAGTGTAGATAATATAATATATGTACCTATAGATTTTAGAATATATTACCTATATAATATCATCGTAGTCAAAACTCGAASCACATCGTATACATGACAGTTCCTCTCGGTTTTGTTTATTTATTTAMTTTTTTAACGATTGTTTTTTTATTAATTTATAATTGTTTATTTTTATTATTTTTATTTCACTTATCGTTTTGTTTTACGTACAAAATCATAATAATTATACCCACCACACTGTTAGCYGAATTCTTATGACACGTATTATAATGATATCGTATACTCGTCTACCTTATATTACATTCGTATCAAAATCAGTAGTCACGAACAGAAGGGCTGTKAAATTTTCCACGGTACTGTAAATTCTATATGAACGATAGGTTWACTGGACCAGAAACACACTATCGTTTTATGTTCAGCCGAATAAATAATATTATTCAACATCAGCATTACATTCAGACCATTCAGTGATATTATATTTATAAGGACACGTCGAAGTAACTGTGGAAARTTCCAAATCCACCCATGAGTGTTATATTCGTTTCATATTAATACCTGCAAGTTTCCGATGCGAGATAGATCAAAGCAGAAAACATTATTTTTTGACTTTTATTGTACGTGTTTTCCGTGAAATTTATTCATGATAGTAATAATTTTTAGTGACATGACTCGAAGGTGTTTGTTATATAATTACAATATCATATGGTTTTTAGGGATATGTTCTTACAAGGTTTTTACTATGAACACTTCTTTTATTTTAGACGAAACTCATGAAAAAGTATTTATTTTTTATAAATTAACCCCCGGCAACATAGGTCATTGAGTGGTTATATTTTTTAGTACGGGTTTTTTTAACTGTGAGGGAGGGTATGACAGACATGCGTACGTATAGCATGGTTTTTGCAACTAAGAACCCGGGAGGTCACCCATCCAGAAACTAGTGACAGCGGGTGGTGCGTACTTTCAATTACGTATCAATTATGATTGCATCCACTGCGTCACGCCAAACCACACATGTGAAAGTTATTTTTTACATATGGTTAAAAGTCCATAAGTTCACACAGTTGTATTATTTTAATGGCCTATGACTACCACTATAATAACATTGAAAATAATTATAAATATTCAAGTTAAAGAAATTAAAATAGTAAAAACGATCAACTGATACAATATCCTTATAAATGTTGTATTCCAATTGTTGAATTTACATTTTAATTACTTGTATCAGCATGCAATATGCTGAAACATTTTAACTTACGACAATAATAAAAATAAAAAATAAATAATAATCTCCATGTCCCGTCAAAAAGAAAAAAAAGATTGTTATTTAGAACAAGTCATCAGTCATAAAATAATAAATTACAATAATAGGTTTATTATGATATAACATAACTCAGGAAAATGTTTTTTACCCACACCTTTTATTTACATTATTATTGTTATGATATGATTTATTTATTTAATTATTTTTTTTTTACCTTTTTTTGTTATTTTTTTTTGTTATACCTGCGATTTTTTGATTTTGATTTTGTTTGTTTGTTTTTTTTTCTATCATTTTTTTTTATTTTCGGTCTGCGACCCGATGAATGTGATGTAGAGTAGAGATGTGATAGAGCGTTTGATACCGTGTATAGTTCCTGTGAAGAGTGTGGAGTTTGGTGTATTTCAGTCTCCGGATACGCAAGCGTGGCAGAACGACTATCTGCAGGGCACCGGCTGCGAGATGTATACGGAGACCCTGTCCCCGTCATTCACCGGCATGACGTTTCCGCAGGCTAGCGAGTAAGTCCCTCCAAGTGCCACACATACACTAATCCATACATACACATACATACACATACATACACATACACAGACACACACACACACAGACACACACAGACACACAGACACACAGACACACACACACACACACAGACACACACACAGACACAGACACACACACACACACACACACACACCACACCAAAGCTCTCACTGCATATTTTCCGTTGTTCTATATTTTCGACAGACAAGCGATCCATTTAACTGACCACAATAATTTTCAAAGACTTTTATTTTAATATGAAAAATAACTGTTTTTATGGCTCAAGTATTCCTGAAAAACATTTCTTAACATATAATTGTCGTAGTAATTTTTTTTTTTTTATAACGAAAATCTATACTTTTAATTTTATAACCGATTAATAGTAATCATAAAACTTTTATTAAATTCTAAAATGTCTTGATGTTTACACTAAACAAAAGCTATTTTCATTAATAATGTATAGGTTTAATAAAGCAAGGGTAAATAGAAAACATCATGATCCATTACTCTAATATTATTTAAAATAAACAATTACTGACATAACACAATTGAATATATCTGTAAATATTTGAACTTTTAAACATATATTCTGCTTAGTGAAATGAATATGTTAAAAAATTATAATTTTTTAAATATAGTACTTACTTACTAAAATAATTTATTTTATTGTTTAAAGTAACAATAATTGATTTGGAGAACGAATGTAGTCGGCAATTAATTGGATCACTACGTGTATATATATAAATATATAATATGCATTATACATATTACACAACACGTCATACTTTACTCCATACAATATACATACGTAAATTCTTTATCTTAGATTCCCTGCAGAGCTGTTTTTTTATTTTGTCTGAACATAATAATAATACATAATAATATATTAACGTTTATTGTAACGAATATTTTATAAATATACATATATTTTTGTTGTATTGTATTTATCATTATTATTTCAGTAGGTTAGACCAGTGTTTCCCAATAGTTTAGAATAAGGTGAATCGCTGTTAGACTCTTCTTCTGCCAGGCGACACTTTTAAAAAATTCCAGTTGTATCGTTATACTGTAATAGGTACTATATATAGTATAATTATATAATCTAACAATTCTATTTTACAATACCATTGCGATCGGACAGATGAATTTTCCGACCCATTGGTTGGGAAACACTGGATTAGACGTTAGTTATATACTATATAATACATTACATATAGTTTAAATATTATTTATTATATTGGACGCGGTATCGGTTCGACGCGGTTCTGAATCAAACTTTTTTTGCATTTTGCGGTACATATACCTAAGTTCGGTATGTTGTAACAACATATTGTAACGATGTGGTATACCGATAATAGTGTACCGTATAAGGGTAAAAACTACAGGGAAACGGGAAAACAAGGGCATAATTTTTTTACGGTTTCCACTCGAAATGCTGTCGTTCGTGAAAATACAACTATATCACCAACTGTGATTGGGGTTTAACAAGTTATCTTTAGCATTAATATTCAAAATGGTAATTTAAAGTTAGTTTCGTGACCGGAATTCATATTTTTTTTATCGTTTAGCACGGCAATGTATGCGTTATAATTAAAAGTACACGGTGGCAGGTTTTACTACWWMATAATAAAACACGTAATATACGATGTTTGTAAATAAAATTTCACCACAAAATCGTAGATGCTCATTCTTTTGTTCCAAAATTCACTGTGATTTCAGTGAATATTTCATTTGGAAAAATAACTGACTATAGTATAATATTATATTAGTATATTATTTACTTCCAAATTCTCTCATGGCGTGGATATTTCCTAGTACTAAATAAAAAAAATTCAACCGTAAATTTTTACATACATTATTTCCTAGTTATTATATCTCAACATACTATATTACATTCCATTTTTTTTAACTTGTCCAAAATAAAAGAGTTAATGAAAATAAAAATATTTTTTCTAGCAAAATTTTATACTGTAGTATAATATAAGTAAATAGGGAATTTTGWGCCCCATGAACTATGAACTAGCATATTATATAAAATCTTTTATACTTTTTATTTGTACTAAAAATATCGAAGATTAAGTTAATATATTAATTTTGTTTTCTTATTTTTTCAAAATTACAGAAGCATTTTAGTACTTATCTTAATTTCAGTATATAATATTAGGTTGTTTATTTGTTCATAACTAAACAAGTGGTAAAAGTCTCGTCTATATCATTTTACTATTCGAATATTATATACTTAATATTTGTTTCATGAACCGTGTATCCAGCCGCTAATACTGCGTCCGGTGTGTTAGTAGCGTGTGGTGACAATTATTAGTTAAAATAATATGTGATATATAATATTATGTATGACGTAAATATCTAGGTTATGAAAAGTCTTAAACATTTTTCAATTTTTTATTCTGTACTTCTCGATGTAACGAAGCATGATGTTGGTAGTTCAGCTGCCAGTAGCCTTGTTAGATTTTTATTCTATTTAGGCTATTTTATATACATGGTGATTCATTAAGCATGCTCACCCTAATTTTGTTCTTTGATAATAGATTTATTAAAACACTGATATTTTGTATTTTGTTAGATTTTAGATGTAAAATTAATAAAGACAATGTTTTCAAAAAAATGTATTATAATTAGGCCATGTAATGAGTATAATATAAACCTGTGTTCATAAAAACTTATTTTCTTCAAATGAGATACTTTTTTATTGTTTATGAGATTATTTTTGTATTTTAATTTATTAGGGTTAGAGATATGGGGCTAGTATGAATTTAAAACATAGTACWTAATATTGATATACTATTAATACGTACTTAATATGACATAATATTATGTGTTCGAATATTATGATTGAAATAACTAGCTGAGTATTATAATCAGCGTTAGACTAAAAAATAATTTATTATATTTTGTATTTGATGAAAAACTATTCGATCACAATGATTATTATATTGGGTATAAAAAATGTAATAAATAAAAAAACTATTCTTTTGAATTTCGAATGAAATGTACAATATTTTCAGTGAAATAATCAACCTAACCATTTTTAGTAAATAAAGATGAATTTCATTTGACAAAAAAAGCTCATGCACAGAATGCTCATTCAATAATATACAATTATAATTATCTATAAATATTGTATTTAAGAAAATATACTTAATAATTTAAAAAATCAGAATTTTTATAAATGTGCCGTTAAAGAATAAAAGGGGAGGTGAGCATTATTGGTGGATTACCCTGTATGTTTATATATTTATATGATATGTGTCAATCAAATTAAATACCCTATTATAAATACATGTTACGTATATCGTGTACGTGTATTTTGAGCACGGTATTTGCATGTAAAAATAGTAAATGAAAATATTATTGATAATATACATTAGAATACATTTTACTCAAAATAATAATATTATTACAGCCATACTATAATTTATAAAACAATATTAATATATTATGTAGGTATCTCTCATTATAATTTTTATTATTATTTTTAAATACGTTCAATTATTTGTAAAAATATTTGAAATTTTCTAATACATCCGTTTGATACCTTCTATTGAATAATTTACTACACTCACATCGAATAATTAATATTGTTTAATATTTGTCGAAAGAAAAAGAATAATGTCAAAAATTTATCGATTTAAACAACTGCATTTAATATTATTTCTATAGTATATTGATCCACACGCTACTTTTATTACTCGTTTATTTATTATACCTAATTATTAATACAATTCATTTAGTTATTTTACATACTCAATAAACATAATAAAATATATACATTTTTTTAAAATAATATTAACAGTTTAACACTAATATTGTTTTTACGGGTTAGCTGATTACCTCCGTTAATTTTTTGATTATAATATTAACTATATAATATTTACATATATGAATGTATTTATCATGTCACGAATAAGATTCTCGACCCTAATGAAGGGTAACCGTATATGTGAGGTTAACAGCTATAGACAACCCAGCATGATAAATAAATTAATATTTCGATGGATATAATATAATATTATTATCATATACTTTTTAGTTATCATTTTAATTATAACTATATAGAAATTGGTCAAGAACCCCATGATGAAAACATTAATCAGCATGTACAAAAGTGGCTTATTTTTTCTTTATTAAATGTTTGTTAAGTATATTGCATGGTTGCATGGTGCATAATTTTCTGTATTATTGTCGTATGTGCTTGTAATCGTGTGGTTTGTGCATTATATACGTTTTAAATTTTATTTTTTAACAGCCGACACATATTCTGACAAAATATATATATACTTAATAATCACATACCATTCTTTATGATTCCGAAAAAAACCCCTCTAATGCTCGTCTGTGTTTTAACGTGCAGGTTGTGCTTCACTAAGCTGAAACTTCTGCTGTTGGCCATAGAAATAAAAGGCGAGGATGGACGGGACAGCAAGATATCAATAAACCCCAGAGGTTCCAAGATACAGGCGAGCACCCAGGGGTTCTTCATCGCTCAGTCGGCCGACGAAGTCAAAAGGTTTGTACGGTTCATTACTGGGAGTACCAAAACACATTATGCATCGATTATATGCGATTTGAATCAGGGGTTAATTTAATTAAGGGATGATGAGGGTGATAGATAATTATGCCACTGATTTGAATACAGATATTAATATTTTTTTGTCCACTAATGAACATAATATTATTTTGTGAAATTGCATTTATTCAAGAATAATTAATACCGTTATGAATATGTCGTTGAAACATCTTGGGTATCAATGTTTTTTTTATATTTATTGATTTATTGATTACTAATAAATTATTAGAAATAAACAAAGAGCTTGAAAAAAGTCAATATTAATGTGAAAATAAAAAAAACCTCGAATTGTTCTATTTATAATTTGGTGTTWAATAATAATTATCGMCAATAAAAACYTSCGTGTTGCAAGTTTTTTAAAATATTAAAAAATAAAATTAGGCACTCAAAGTTTGATCTTTAATTTCAACATTYGATTGAATTAATACAAATAGTCGTAATATACATAGGTCCTTTAAATTACATATAAAATTCATTTTGTTTTAAAGTATTAAATATTCAAAGAAAATTTTGAATTTTATATTATTAAAAAATTATTTAYTCTTGTYAATGCATGCGATAATTTTATTAAACTCGTTGACAAAATGGCGGCATATATCTACGCCCAAAGTTTGTTTAACATTGAATAGTGGTAGAACATAATTTAAAAAAATAYACACGTTACAATAACTATTTAAAATACTGCGTGTTTGTTTATASTAATGTTTTGTCATTTATTATTTGTGTATATGTTTAGGGCTTGGTATTACTGTAAGGCATGTCACGAAGAAATTAGAGACGAAACGCTGATCAAGAAGTGCAAGTGCAAAAACTGTGAGTATCATTCGCGATAGTTTTATTTTACAGCCCTATTGTGTATGTGAATCTTCAAATGCACTGGTCGACAAATCTATACATTATATTATGTACCTAAGTATAAAGTGTCTGTACTATTTCTTTTATTTTCCTGCGATTTAAATGATTGTTATTGTCATACCTATATACTCGCATACCTACCATATTATTATTATATTATTTTTTTTAATGCAACCTTGCAAAAAAAAAAAACACATTTCTTTCATTCTTTCATATTTTTATTTTTTGTTTTTTGTCTAGCCCACCAATCCCCCGCCGCTGTAGACCGATTTACTGTGCGCCGGAACAATACAATATATAAAATTATAAAATTCATAAATTCGAACTACGTGCTCATACAATTACGACCATTATTGTTATGTGTATTAAGACTAAGTTCAGGCGCATATTAAATTGACTTGTTTTTCAATATGAAACAAACTAACCTTTTGTCCATTTGCACTCCAAAGTAGAATGAAATATATACACCCATTATTATATTTTATTACGTATATATATAAATATATATATATATCAAACATATACATTCTACATAGAACATACATATTATACAACATACATGTATACGTGTATATTGTACACTGTGTATATTTTATATTAAATATAAGCAATAAACATACAAATTATTATTTTTCGTTCTCTACCTGAATACTGCTCACGATGATCACACGTTTTACGAGCTTCAGCAGCTTTATATTTTATTTATTTTTATACATATCGTAGAATTTTTTTTTCTTCCATTACACAGCTATGTAATTATATATGCTGCATGTAATGTAAYAACAGGACTACTACACTACCTGTAATAGTTTTTTATTTACATTTTTTAACACATGTTATTATTATCATCAAATAAAAATACGATAATATCCGAAATAYTCTGAATGGAAATTCAAAACCAAAAAACATAATCGTTTTATATAGTAAAATATACTATACGATTTGTACGCATAAAAAATCCCATAAAAATAATTAAGTTTATATGATTATACTGGTTATGTTTTTTTACATACCTACCTAAACTATTATTACTATTACGTTCGAGTGTTATAGAGAGAGACACCATGTTACAGATGTCGGTATGATTATGATGGAGACTGGAATGTTGGCACATAATTATAATTTCGAGGGTACTTATAAAAAGTTTCAAACAAATATAAAAAGTTACATGTGTTTGTGTTTTGAAGTCCGCTTGCCTGAATTCGTCCATAAATACCTGGTCAATAACAATTTAATATTTTTAACCAATATTACAACGTCTCGTCCGTAWATATTATAATATAATATTGTTCTGAATTAAATTTGTGCAATTTTGGTTAGTCATAATAATAATCATTGAGATAAGGTCCGGAAGTCGACACAGTTAAGTCAAGTTTCTATTATTTGATTATAAAAAATATGAAGGGTGCGTTACACATTCACAATATGAATATAAATATTTTTAATATTCTATAATATTTTATAATATATTTTTATTTTTTTAACACTTCAAAAGTAACTTCCCTTACTGCATTTATACCTATCTAATGTTTAATTTTGTTGAGATTTTTTTTAATATACAATTCCTTAATGTCGTTCATAGTTTACATTTTCAATACGCATATTATCATACCTGTGTTCAAGTGTAACTTCACTATATTATGTCCATTGTTCGGAATATAGATATAGATAAATTTATTTTATTTATCCCAGATAATTTTTTTTCTAAATGTAATATGTATTATAATTTTGCTATCAAATAAAATTGTATAAGTATATGGGTTAACCCGTATAAGGTAACAATGCACTGCATATAAATATAAACATGATAAAATAACATGTAGGTCTAAGTTATAATTATTTTAATTTCAATTGAGATCTCTTTTAAATAGAAGTACCTATTATTATTATTATTATATTCCACGTATTTAAATTATATTTATTCAAATGTAAATCGATTGTATAAATCATGATTATGAAATTTGAATCACTAATTATATTCTATAAAAGTTAATATTACATCAGAATCGTAAATTTATATTGCTTATACAAACCTGTAATCATTAACAATATATTAATATTAATCTGATTTGTATTGAAAAACTTTTTCCCAAAAAAAAAATATAAAATTTTGTTAAAAATACTAATCAATTTGAGKGTATTAAATAATTGTTTTTAAACTTGAAGACTTTCAATTAAGTCAATGTGATCAACCTCCGGTCCTTGTTCGTGAGTATGAGTATGGACTTTGTATGAATGTTGATTGCAATTTTATTGTTGGAACATAGAATTACGTTTTTTTTTCTTTTTATTATAAACGATTTAACTAAAATCATATAAATGTCTTATTTTTTTTTTTTACTACATTAGGTATTCCGGCTTTATCTAAACGTGACTAAATAATGTGAGATTGTTTTGTGTGTACTTGGATTGAAACTAATAAAACGTTTTTCAATAGCGAATAAATTACAATAAAAAACACAATAATTTTCACGTTTTCAATTTTTGTATGTTTTTTTTTCTAATTTTAACACAGTGGCGACATTCCGGAAAGGCGTTCGCGCTATACAAATGGTCGGACGGGCAAGTACGTTCAAATTCTCCTTAAATCAAATTTCTTGTTTGTCTACGAATTGATGCCTTTTTTGATTAATTTTTTTAGCTGGTTTTCTATAGTTAACAAATATTGTTTATATATATATAATATATATTTGACATAWACATATATAGGTATATATATATATTTATTTATGTGTGTATCTGATGTATACAATATATGGATATATATATTATATATCTATCTATAATATTATCTATTTAATAAAAATGTATTTTCCTCTTGGTTTTTAATCGGCAGTGGGTTTATTTTTCTTTCGTATTTTCTGTGCTGTTGAACGTTTTACTTTGTGTGGTTTTTGTTTTTTCCCTTTTTACGCTTTCTACCTGAAACAGCCAATAATACAAAATTAACCCTCATACAACAAACCTATTGTGGGTATTATTTGTATTAACAAAAAAAAAAAAATAATAACAATAATAATAATAATAACATAACAATCAAATATTGTTCTATACATTGCAATGAACAATTTTTTTTTTTTGTTGTACTTATGATGTCTGTTCAATTATATATATATAAAAAAAGTTTCATAATGCGTAGGACACATATAGTTGTCATAAGCAATCAGGCTGACATATTTTAGTAGTTAAGTATCATTTAAAAAATKATAAATTATTCATCATTTTTATTTTATTTTTATTTTTGGACTCAACTATCGTAGTTAGTTTTGGGATGGCTGCTGCATGTTTTCATATTGGGCTCATTGTTTATTACTATTATCCGTAGGTATATTAGTTAGGTCAACTAGGTTTAGCATGCTAATGTAATATTTGGGTACCTGCGTAATGAAAATAATTCTAAAAGTTATGATAATATATGATTGACATTGGTTTTTCTATTATATCATTGGTCGACCGGTATAGATTTCGTATCTGTTAGTTTTATATTTCAACTTTTTTTTTTAAGAGGACGTGATACCCGCATGTGTTGTCTCTGTCTTACAAGTGCATTATATAGTAAATTTTACGTTCAGCAGAACACGTGTAGCTCCGTTTGCTTAAAAATTAGAGTGAATTGACCTCTTATAAAATTTAAAGGTATGATTGTTATCTAGTCAACCTCATATGCTTTTTAATATATTTAAATTTTAAAGGAAGTTATGAGTATTTTAAGATGCACAAAAAATTCACAATTTTAAAATACTCATAACTCGCTTTAAATTTGATATAAAATAAAAAGCATATGAAGTTGTCTAGATAATAATCTTACCTTTAAATTTTATAAGAGGTCAATTCACTCTAATTTTTAAGTTAATGGAACTACACGTGTTCTGCTGAGCGAAAAATGTACCATGTTACGCATTTGTAAGACGGAGACAACACATGCGGGTATCACGTCCTCTTAATACAACGTTATAGTTTTTCACTTACATTGATTGTATTTTATTATGTGTTTTTTGGACAATATGTTCTCAGAAAATTGTATTAAATTCAACATGTTTTATAAAATTACGTGTGAAAGCATAACGATAATTTCTTTGACTTTGTTTTTATCCTTTTTTCCTGCTATAAGATAAGATACTAACGGATACTCTTAACTGTGGCATTGTGGCAATAACCGACGGAATTTGACGGCTTGAATCATATTAATATTGTTTTGGCCGATTATCATATCCACGTTCGTAATATTCTATAAAACTGAAGCAGGTTAGGTATCGCCAAACTTTTGGAACATAATTGATCAACGCGCGAATAACAAACGATAAAACTACAGTTCAGTCTCGATAATTCAGATCTAAAGGGTAATAAAGATAAGTTATGAATTTTTCGAGTTATGTAGGTACCTCGAACATAACTTAAAAATACTTCAAAGATAAAGTAAACGATTTGAGTTATYGTGACTCGACTTTTTTTTTTCCATCGCTATATAGTTTCTGGGCATTTTAACAATACCATGCCTACCACATAGGTTCTACGTATTGTTATTTTCCCGATAAARCAATAATATATAGCAGTGGAGAGGGCCCACCACAGTGGACGAACCGTGATTCTTCACGAATCCAATGCCATTATACACCTATATTTAGTTGGCCGACCCGGTAGTGAAACGTGAGAGCCGATACACKTAGGTCTTGGTTTTCCTAACATCGTTTCTGCAGTGGCTTAGGGTACACACGACAATGACATTTATTGGCACTTTCGGATGCCGTTGAAACATCATCGAATAGCGCTGTGGCTTACGCTGTGTCTGTGTGTCTGTGTGTTTGTGCGAGCGTGTGCGTGCGTGTGTCAGACAAYGCGGACGCAGATCCCGACGGCGTCGGYGACGATGACTTTCGACGCGCAAAGTTTTTGGCCCTTGTCCATGTTTTGTGCAGTTGCTGTAGGTACCTATTATATATATTATACGAATGCATGATTGAGATTACTGGTGAACTTTTACATCCAGTTCGGAGATTGATTAGTATCACATGCGTTTTTACTATAAATTACCATAGCTATAATAGTTATRTCATTATTATTATTACAATTATCCGACGATAAAAATTTAATATTAAATTATGACGACCATTACTTCATGAGTTTTACGCGTTTGTTKCTGAAGATGCACGCATCTTGCACGCATAGTGTTGCATGGTCTTTTCGAGTACTTTTTATATTTTTTCGTTTTGTTATTATTATTATCATTATTTGTTTTTTGAACAGATTTGGATGGTTTGAAGTAAGTTAATAAAAATTATATGTAAATATCGGAAAATGAAGAAAAACATCGTATATTTAATTTAATTGTGAGTAGAAATAAACGCGCGTTGGCTTGACCTCGATATGACAACGCACCAGTAAACAGATAATAATAATATRATTCTTTATCGAAGATGTTTTCGAGGATCAGTTGATAACAGCAACTGCACAAAACGATTCCATATTATGATTGTATCTGTGAAATTTTGTTTTAGAATTTATCCACCGACAATTAAAATTTTTTTGTGATCTCCTACATGACATTTGTGTTGTGTGTCGTCATACTACTCTGAGTACTTTTTTTGATTATGTTATTTAGAATGTTAGGTACTTATTTTAAAACTTAACTCGATATTGCTCACGTGRCGTGGTAATACAAATTAAATGTATTMAATTTGTATTCAATCTTAAATCAAATTTATTAATAACTTTATATTTAAAATCGATATAAAGCWTTGAGTATTTTATCTGTTGGAATTTTCATTTGTTATTATTATAAAATTCGTCAAACATTTAAACCAGGTAGATTTAGGTTATATTTAAAAATATTATTATTTAACTACATTATACTTATAGTTAAGAGTATTCGTTGATACAGTTAAATATTTTATTTTTCACTCCATTGAAAATATACGTCACGTTAGGTTTTTAAGCAAAATAAATGTATAGTGTATACTGTATACCTACAACAGATGTAAAAAGAAACAAAATGTTCAATAAAGAATTCAATATCATTTCGTAATTTATTCATCATCACTCAAACGATGTGGTTTTTGTGTGAATTGCATATGGTAATATACGACCATGAATAAATTGTTCGAGTGTGTTTGTAGGGGATAAACGATAAAACTACAATACTTGAGTATAACATCCTTAAATTTTATTTATTTAATTTTTTTTACATAAAAACAATTATGTCGGTTAGTGAATTTTGGAATGTATGTTCTTTCAGACGATCATCCTCCCCCCACGGAAACTCCACCTACTCTTCCAAAAAGAGTACATAATATCAGAGGTACAACAATAAAAACAAAACAAACTGCTGTTGCTTTTGCCTTTATATTGTCTTAAGTGCATTGTGTCTTCGAGGTGGCACTCTTGATGGTTCCTTCATTCCTCCATCTTTGTTTCATGTTATAATACATATACATCCTTACACGTGTTTTTGTTCACAAGAAAAAATATTAAAGAAATAAGCACATGTTATATATTATACAAAATCTCATTATGCGTCACAACAATACGGTTTTCTGCCAATTTTCACGATCAAAATTTAAATTTATTCGATTCCATAAATATATTTATTTATATATCAACCTATCCGTGTGAAATGTAAGATGTATATCTTCCCGTTTGTTTGAACATTGATTTTAATTTTTTAATTTTAATTTATTTAATTTATCTGTAGAATATATTATATTATTTTATATGTTTATTATGCTGTGTGCAATGTTACGCATCATAACAATGTATGACGAAATATTATACACTTGCTATTTTATTATTATTTATTATTTACAAATTTAACTGCTCTTGAGAACGTTGTTTTTCGAAGTTATAATATTTACGGTTGCTTGATGTGCGCTGGCCTTAATTATATATAATTCTATTATTATTATTATTATTATTATTGGGTTTTGTTAATATCGCTTTCGTGAAATTTGTTTGTATTTTTGTATTTGGTTTTTTGAAGTGTTTTATTTTGTGTATTTGACGTCTACTAAACATTTTATTCTCTACACTAACGCTTTTTAATAGTCTTTGTATTTTTTTTCTGTTCAACCTTTTCTCAGGTGACGTCGGGAAGGAAAAGGAAATAACACGTAAGTTGCAATACAATACTATAAATCACAACAATATACTTCACCAATAGTTTTTGCACAATGCACTTTGCCGTGCGTTTAAAAGTAAACGGCCGTTTTAGTGACTKTTATTGAAAAGTTTATGGACCATTATAATATTATTATAACATTAATGTAAACCGAAGATCACCCACGGAGCATGGTAGGGCCGATGCATTCGGTGAAATTTTGGCCTTAATGATAGGACGAGTTCGTATTAAATKATCATTGAAATAAAACGCACTAACAAATACATTACTATTAATCGCTGTTATTCTAAATTATATTGTTTATAAAACAGTTACCTACGCCATTAGATCTTCACCGTATTATAAGTCAGCTAACATTGTTTCACAACGACTGTATAYGATATTAAAATGTAATTATAATAACATCCGCTACCCCAGCTGATAACACATTAATAACAATAAAACCATCGTCGTCCTAGCGTTCGTTTTATATCCTCGTTAGATTGAGAGCCAATTATTTGTTAGGTTCTCTATATTTTTTATCAATTATTTATGAAACCCCTTATTTCAGCCCATGACTATTTGCTACATTAAATGGAAGATTTTGCTGACCATTACTATAGTATGGAAAATGTTTAGCGTACTTTTATAGAACCCGGCAAAGCGTATTGCACAGTTTTCCCGAACGAAAAYAGCACTTAACTAATGCAGTAAATAACCGGTGGTGTACGGTGCATAATATATAGCATTAAAATGTGGTTTGAAAAATGTGCTAGTGGTCCAGAGGTGGCGTGAAATTGTGATAAAGAAGCGAAATTCGAAATTTAAACTTCACAATGAGAACTATATCATGGGTAGGGTGACGGTATTTGAGATGAACCGTTGATGAGTAAGAGCGTATGTGGTGGTTGGTGGAGGTGGTGGTGTTGGTAGTAATACGGGGGATGGGATAAACCAGTAAAGAAGATTAAGGAGAGAGATAAATTACCGGCTTTAATTCGGACAGTTTTAGCCGGGGAACGACGCATAATGGCTGTGAGAGAGAAAACTTTCAAAGTYTGCCAACGGTCTTTGTTTGATACATTGTTAATACAAATTCAGTGGTGAGAGAAGAACGAGCTTAAAAATGAGGGTAAAAGTTTTGAGGAAGGATGTAGGGCRGTGTGGTGGGAGTGCTGAGAAGATGTTCAAAAGAGAAGCGAGAGCCACCAAAATTAATAGAGAAAAAATAACTGCGGTTAAGAGTTACGTTCACGAGTTTTTCAACGTTATTTTCGCTTTATATTTTCAGTGTTGGGCAACAAAAATACATCAACGACTATGCCCAATTCGATAATGTCGGCGGCGAAACAGGTGAACAAAGTGAAACCAATCAACCGTCCGGCGGACAAAGGGTCGCCCAACCAAAACTACAATCGGTGAGATACATAACTTTTTAAAAACAGCGGATACTGATGTGAATAATTAATATTACATAAATGTACGAACGATGTATTCAGCCTTTTTTTTTACTGTTTTTGTTGTTTTTATTTAACATATTTTTTTAACTTTCGTTTTCACACTAACAAATTGTCAAAAAATTCTRTTGCATTAATTCCTTACATGAATCCGAACTCTAATACATACTTCATTATATAAATTTAATGTAATTAGTTTTATTATTATTATTATTTTTTTTTGATTATTTTCTATTTTTCTCTTCTTTTTTATTCGGTGTAAATTAAATATTTGATCGTGGTCGTCTTGAATATATTGCAGAGCTCAACAAGAAGAAGGAAGCTACGCCGGATATCAACTCGCATACGAAGTTAAAAAATTATTGTACGCTTTCTACTTAATATATTATACTATTCCA